AGGAAGTTTTTCGAACTAGATTGAAGAAACGAAATAGATTATTGCAAGATTTTAGTTGAATAATATACTTACAGACTACAATACTGGTATAGTCAAATCTTGTCGATGAATATATTGAGGAAAAATCTCGGTAGAATTTTAGATGTAAGCATCATTTACTGTATTTATTGGGATTTTGTTGACGATCTCGCGATTGCTATTGCATGTTTTTCACAGGTGTGTAGGTGTGGTTGTAGGCAAATAATGGATTCACCATCACACCCACATCCACGTACCCCACCGACCCTTACACTCAAACCTACACTTCACACCATCAGATCTTCTCTAACAATGAATGACACATTGTGATAAAGATGAGTTGAATTTTATCATCTGTTACTTTTTCGAAGTGTATTTCACCATCGCATGAGATGTTCACAGCAGTGGGCAGATTTCCGAAAAAGGAAATTTCCCTCTTAAAAATGCATATTTCGGAAATTACAGCAATACAAAATGCTAGTTTCAGAAAATACCGTAACTACCGCCATACAGTTAAGAAAACAATATAAGCACAACAAAGAATTTTTCAACAAACTTCGGAAATTACCTGCTCATATGGAAAGAAATTTCGGTAATTACTAGAAAATTTCTATAAATTCCAAAATTATATAATAATCATATAATAAGATTCATATACAATTACAGAACCTTACCTCCAAAAAGTTGAAGAATTTATGGTAATTTCGGAAATTACCAGGAAATTTTAGTAATTACGGAAATTTCTATAATTTCTTTTTGATTATTATTATATAGATATGATATGACAGATATAGATTTAAAGACCCCTACCCCTAAAAAGTAGAAGAATTTTTGGTAATTTCGGAAATTATCATAAATTCTTTTTCGGGGTAGGGTTCCTTAAGTCTATAATTATATTATATGATATCTATATTATAATATTGTAGAAATTATAGAAATTTCCGTAATTACTAAAATTTCCTGGTAATTTCCGAAATTACCATAAATTCTTTAACTTTTTGGGGGTAGGGTTCCTTAAGTCTATGATTATATTATGTGATATCTATATTAAAATATTGTAGAAATTATAGAAATTTCCGTAATTACTAAAATTTCCTAGTAATTTCCGAAATTAACATAAATTCTTTAACTTTTCGGGGGTAGCGTTCCTTAAGTCTATGATTACATTATGTGATATCTATATTATAATATTGTAGAAATTATAGAAATTTCCGTAATTACTAAAATTTCCTGGTAATTTCCGAAATTACCATAAATTCTTCAACTTTTTGGAGGTAGGGTTCTTTAATTGTATATGAATCTTATTTTATGATTATTATATAATTTTGGAATTTATATAAATTTCCTAGTAATTACCGAAATTTCTGAGAAATTTTCGTTGAAATTTCTGAGAAATTTCCATTGAAATTTCTTCGCGAGAGCTAGTGAATTTCAGAAATTTCGTTATAATTTTTTCTGGATATGTCTATATTTTCGGTAATTACCGGTAAATTTCATTCCAGAGAGGTGGTATTTACGGAAATTATCTAGTAATGTTCCTTGTATAGTATGAGTAATTACCGAAATTTCTTTCCATATGTACAGGTAATTTCCGAAATCTCCTGTAAATTTGCTTTGGCATTGTTTGAATATTTGGGAAATTGTGAGGAAATTTCTGTCTCGTATAATAGTAATTACTAAAATTTCTGCGAAATTTTTGTTATTAAGCACACGTATCATTAAATGCTGTTTGTGGAAATTTTGGTATTTTCGGAAATTTCTTTTTTAGGAAATCTGAACATTCCTCGATGTTCATACATAAAAAACAATGAAAAAAGTTCATTCAAACACGTCTGCTAATGAGTATTGAAAAATATAGCCAGAAAAGTTCTCCCCTCTCCCTCTGAACACCTTTTGAAACCAATAGGGAGAAAATAACCGTAGTATATTTAAAAGTGCAATAGTTTCAGGTAAAAGTTTTTGCCAGGTTGAAGAAAATCTTCCTGTGTATCATCCGAAACGATTGAACTGGTGTAAAGGTCATTTTTGCCATAGAACAGACGTTGAAAAAATGTTCTTGTTTTATTGTCATAATTAATTGCTAAACAATATCTAACCATTATGTTCCTATATCAGTATGTAGTACTCGTGATGGTCTTTCAAATGATATATAATTGAATAACATCTTCCCTTATAATAATAAAAATATAAATGTGATAATGTAAAGATGAATTTTTCGAAATCGACAAGTAAGATATTTTATTAAAAAAAGAAACACACTCTGGATTATAAATACACAAAATAATCTGATTACACAAAAATCTTATTTAACTCTGATGTATCTGTTCTCCACCACTTTTTATCATTTCATTAAGTCTTTCAGGAATTTCATCAATCATCTTTTTACAATCATCATAAGTTATTTTTTTCCATTCTTTGTTCAATCTATTTTTTAGCTGTTGAAAACTCGAAAACTGTTCTCCACATATTTTTTCCTTCAATATTTCCCAAACATTTTCGATGGACCATACGTCGGCAAATTTTGCATCACATTCCTGAGGTGAAATTCGATCACTAAATAATTCATCTATAGTTTCTAATACAATCTTTGTTCGTTGTTTTGTATCAGCGTCATCTTGAAATATAAAATTTCTTCGGCATACGTTTTGAATTTCTTTATAACCAATTTCTTTAATAAATTTACCATATAAATGACTATTCATATAATTTTTTTTTCTTGATTTGTCCCTTACTTGTTTTTGTAACCATGATGTGACATCAAATGGACCATTTTTGGGAAACAGGCATTCATAAGAAATACCACACCAAAAAACAATTCCACTTGGAAACTTATTTTTTGGTCGATTACGAATTGCTGATGGTATTTCTTCAGCAGATTTTGCCCAAATACCTTCATTGTATGGATTTGAGAGTGATTCTAAGGTGAACTTCCCAGAAAATTCAGTGTTGATTATCATATTCGAAGAAATTTGCAATATCAGATGCAGTCCAACTAGGATTTTGACGACTTAATAATAATACGAGTGGTCGAAACAATTCTTCTTCATATAGTCGAGCTGACTTACGAGACATGATATCGAAAGAATATTGAAAATGTCGAAACAAATATCAAGTAGAAAAAAAGTCAGATCAAACTGAATTATAAAAGACAAAAATAAAAAAATAATAGAAATCGGCATGTACTTCTTTTCGTTAGTTTATTTGTGTCTAATCAGAAGCCACTGCTGAAATGATCAGTCAGAGTATAATAATAACCGTTTTAAATAAGAAAAAGAAATGTGAACATTGCCGTTAAAACGAACATTTTTTCGTGCTGCACACAACATACTTTTTTTCATCACATACATGATGTGTTCATATATTTTATTCATTTCACACCACTTATTGAGCATATAAGTTTGATTCAATATGTGACTAGTGGCTCGTAATGAGCGTCGAATAAACTATCAAGATAACTAGTTATTGATTATACTTACGTTATTTCCTATGTAAATATGTTCAGTACTTTATTAGAAAATCTTTCAAAATATCTTACTTGTCGATTTCAAAAAATTCATCTTTACATTATCATGTTTATATTTTTATGATTATAAGGAAAGATGTTATTCAATTATATATCATTTGAAAGGCCGTCACGCGAATACTACAAACTGATATAGGAACATAATGGTTAAACATTGTTTAGTGTGTCTATATAAACGAATTTTGTCGCGTTCCAAGACTTATGAAACGCCCTGTATGGACATTTAGTAAAAGTTAGCTTCCATGAAACGCAGTATAACAAAAAAAGAAACAAAAAGAATTCAGTCCATGTAAACAATTCCATAAATTGAAAAATATCTGCTTATAGAAATAAATCAATTGGACTAAAAATCTGAGTTAAAAAATGATTTAGTCTAATTTTTATAATATTTCCGCGCAGGTTTTTTGTACTAATAAACTTGATGTCTTTAACTGCTCTTCTTGTTGATAAACATTGATAGCAAATACGTATTGTAAAATTCTTGCTGTTAATGTAATGTTACCAATACATCTTGATTTATCTTTTATAGGATCGAACGATAATTTCAACACTAGATTAACAATCATGTAAATAGAAATATTAATCAATACATGAAACATTAATATATTAAAAGCTAGAGAAAAAATCAGTTTTACCATTAAAAATTTCTATGCTATTCTGAAGCTATTATATTAGAAAAAAAATTAAACGAAATTTTTTTCAATTAATTATTCCCTTTACAATAAAACCTTTAAAAATTATTTTATCATTTTTCAATAAAAAATTCTACTTTTAAAAATTTCAATTTTAAAGGCGGCTAATGGAGGAAAAAATGAGAACATACGACAAACACATCAGAATATTATAATCCTCCTACATAATAATAAGTCACTTTTGGACAACTTTGAAAAAATTTCAGATAGTTCTTATGGATGAATTCAAATGTCATTTTATCTCATTAAAAATATTCCTTAATTTTTTCGTGTATTGAAGATAATCGCCACACAAATTTAAACACCTAATCTAACAAATTCACAAATGATTTTGCTTGTGTGGTCAAGAATAGACGTTTAACGATCATATCGTCAATCAACATAGATACAAGTTAAACAATATTTGATTAAAACGACTACAATAAGCTATAACATAGAATGAGCAAAAGCTATATAGGAATGCGAGGGACTCGTTTTAATTTGCGGATCTCGGCAGCGTAGATCATGAGCGAGACCAGAAGATATAAATTTATTCTTAAATTTTTCACATTTTTCTGCATATTATATTTTGATTACACCACTTTCTGATTGAATTAATCAAAATAGAAATATTTAAAAACACACCTTGAAACAAAATACAAAAAAATATACTTTCTCCATAGCTTTCCTTCTTTATAAAAAATTGTTATTTTCTTAATAAAGGCCTCTTTTGATGAAAAAAAATCATTAAAAAAATTTTCAAAACTAATGATGCCGATCGATTCCTCGTCACCGAAAACATTTGGTCAAACTTTATTAGATATGTGTTTTTTTGACCTTGACACATAAATACCCACATACAACCGCATTTTATTTCATATGACCCTCCCTTCAGTCGAGGGAATATGTCATGCTTTATTCAATCTTGTACTCTGTGGCCATCGATTAATAGAGAGTAAAACAACTGAACACGACCTTCGTTAGCATAATTCATATGTTATGCGCTGGTTAATCTTGTGTTCTACAGCCACCTATTGCTAGGAGTAAAATAATCGAAGAAGACCTTCCTCAGAATGATTCACTTGTATTGTGATCCTCTAACATGATGCTATAGGCAACTTTGGGTTTAGATATGAGCGAAAATGAATAGATCAATTGTTATTATTATATATTTTTCCAGTTGACATTCATCGTGAGACGTATCGCTATATTATTGGTGTAATGAGAACCATATATATGAATAGAAAGCTATTAATTAAAATGGTTCCTTAGTACAATGATATTCTATGGCGTGATCCAGAGGTGTACATCGCTCTGAAATATTTAGCATATTTGGACAAAGCTATAATTATAATCATTCATGGATTTTGTGATCTAGGACTGTCTGAAGGGCTTTCACATTGCACTTTTTGATGAATTACATAGTTGAAGAGACAGTCCTGGTTGAAACTAGTCACTGGTAACGAATTGATTACTGAGTAGTTAAATGGTGCACTAGGCTTCCTTCTAAGGAACTTTTTTAAATAGAATTTTTCTCAACCATGTTCACCTAGCATATGAGATGTTCTATTTGAGTAACACACAACCATCACTTTCAATTAATTGAGACATTTGAATAGAGTTATTATTAGTTTTATTTATTTTTGAGAGGATTTATTTCTTCATAATAACGACAGAAGTTTTGCCTCACAGTTAACGATATATATGAGAGGATAGGTTCTTGCTAGTGTTCGTTTGCCATGTAATTCATCATTAGATCATCAGCTTTACGTCTAATTCAAAATGTTGACTATGGATTGAACAGGATTCTCGTGAAGATCAATCAGTTCCTGATTGATTTCCAAATACATGATGCTTGCGATAGTTTACTTCAAGATAAGTCTTCAATTTGAACACAAATGTTGCTGTATCTATTCATAAGATACACGATCAATGATATGATATTGTGTTTAAGATTGACCATTTAGTTTACAACGAACATGAACACATTTTAAGTAATGAGCTGTTGTTAAAAATTGAACAAGACATTGATCAAGTGACTTCGACCCATGGAGTAAAATATTGAAGGAAACGGACTGCGTAACGCGTTTCCAAGATTGTAGCATGCGTTTCGCAACGTTTTTGCAATATAGGACGCGTTTCGCAGCATTCTTACTTACATAAAATGCATTTTGCCACAGTCGTTTTTTGAAACGATCCGAAACGCTTTTTTCAAGATTGCGTTTCGAGGCGTTTCCGAATTAAAATGCTGTCGAACGCATTTTTGTCGACAGGCGACTCGTTCCACAGATACAAATTGGGGGAAACGTAAAACGCGTTTCTTTTTCAAATGTGTGTTGCATTGTTTTTGCTTGGAATGATGCAAAATATATCCATTCTGCATACAGAATCTGCAAAAATTCACCAACACAAAGCATAGGAGTTAAGCAAAGTAAATTCTTTAAAATTACTTTGGAAATGATATGAAATAGCACTTGAAAGTTTTGCTCCTTGCACTATTTTTGTACGTGAAAATCATGACCCAGGCTTTTATGAAGGCAAGACTAAAATCAAAGTCTTGGAAATTTTTAGACTGCTAGGCTGTTATCGAGACCTAATTCGAAGTTAGACTAATGTAAAACATCAAAGTGTAACAAAAAATATATTCTTCTTACTTAACCCTTGCCGTACCGGCCTATTTTAAGTACTATATGGACAATATATATTTTCATAAAATATTTTTTTGTACTTTGGGATACTCCCCTGAGGAAATATGCTATTTTCATATTCGATGCAATAAAAGAAATTACTAGAATGACATTTTTTATTTGCAGCAAGTGTTACAAAAAATACGTTTAACAGAATGTTCATCACAAACGAACGCAGAACAAACACTGCATTGAGTTGATGTTTTTTTGTCCTTTGAACGTTCACAAAAAGAACATCTTTTTCGTTTTGCTTGAGCAGAATTGTCATTTATGATTGATATATTTCTCTTTATTACAGGATAACCGACGATAGCTAATGCATTTTGAATATCTGTATTCAGAAATTTCGAATTTTTTGAGCGAAAATCCAGCTGATGCGACGCTAAAGCCATTCCTAATTCTTCGAGAAATAATCGACGTTTATGTTTTATATTTTGATTCCATTGAGGATTCTTTGTTTTCCAGACGATCATTGCGTTTATAGCAGCGATGTCTATCATTCCAAAAAAGATACAAAGTGGCCATCGCTTTGTACTTCTTTTCACCTATACAAAATAAAATGCAGAAGCATAAAAAAAATATTTTTTTACCGTATATTTGTGACATAATTGATCAATTGTGTCAACAGCTCCTTTTGTTTTATTATAATCCAAAATAATAATTGGTTTACCAGTTTGATTATCCACTTGGCTATCGTGATGTTTGGATGAAAGTAGTAAAACGGCCTTGTTGTATTTAGGTACAAATGAAACTATAGTTAAACCATCCTGAAAACCAAACAGCGAAGAGCCAACTTCGTGATTTTTACTTGACTGGAATTCTATAGGTATTTCCGGTTTATTTTTTCGCAATGTTCCTATAAGAGATAAATTTTTTGCTTGAAGTTCTTTGGCTAATGGAACACTTGTAAAAAAATTATCCATTGTAACATTTCTGCTTGAACCATAAAGTGGTTTGAGCAATTCTAAAACTACTCTGGCACCTATTTGGGTTTGTCTTTTTTCCGTCGGTTGTCGTCCAAGATAAGGAAATGCATTGAATACGTAATGTGAATCTACATCAACACATAACCAAAA